AGCGAAGGGGTCGCGGGGCGACCGGGGCGGGGGGGGCGGGCGGGGGCTGGGGGTGCCCCCCGAGCGCCGGGGACCCCCCCGGCTGACGGCGGCGGCGGCGGCCAAGCCCTGGAGCAGCCGGCGCAGGGCCGGGCCGGGGGGCGCGGGCGGGGGGGGCGGCGGCGACGTCTCGGGGGTGAGGAGGAGGGAGCCGGGGGGGCCCCCCGGGACACCCCCCCCGCCGCCCCCGGGGCTCTCGGGGCTCGGCGGCAGCTTCTCGGGCGCGGCCTCGGGGGGCTCCGGGGGCCCGAAGGCGAAGGGCGGGGCCTGTCGGGGGGTGTAGGGGGGGGTCCAGGTCTCGGCGGCCCCCCCGGGCGTCTCGGGGACCCCCAGGCCCGGTGCCAGGCGGACGCCGGGGCCCAGGTTGGCGCCGAGGGCGAGGCCGGTGCCCAGGGCGGTGCCGACGTTGGCGCCGAGGCCGAGGCCGGGTCCGAGGGTCGGGTCGACGCCGGGGCCGAGGGCGAGGGTGGAACCGAGGGCGGAGGCTCCGACGGTGGCTCCGGCACCGAGTCCGAGGGCGGATCCGACACCGGACCCGACGTTGGCTCCGATGCCGAGTCCGACGGCAGATCCGACGCCGGACTCAATGTTGGCTCCGAGTCCGATGCCGGCGTCGCCAAGAGCGGAGTCAACGCCGGCACCGACGTCGGGTCCGAGCCCGGAGCAAACATTGGCTCCGAGCGCAGCTCCAACGGCAAATCCAAGGGTAGATCCGAGCCCGGAGCCGCCGGCGGCTCCAGCGGTGAGTCCGACACCGGCACCGACGTCCGATGTGGGGGCGGAGCCGATGGTGGAACCCACGTTGGCTCCGAGGCCGAGCCCGACAGCGGGGCCGACGTCGGATGTGATTGTAGCACCAACGGTGGCTCCGACGCCAAGTCCAATGTCCAGATCGGATCCAAGAGCAGCACCAATGGCTCCGACGGCAAGTCCAACACCGGATCCAAGATTGGAGCCAACGCCGGCTCCGACGGCAAGTCCAACACCAGATCCAAGACCGGATCCAACGCCAGCTCCAACAGCAAGTCCAACACTGGATCCAAGACCGGATCCAACACCAGCTCCAACAGCAAGTCCAACACCAGATCCAAGACCAGAGCCAACATTGGCTCCAACGGCAGCTCCGACGGCAAGTCCGACACTGGCGCCGACATCGGAGGGCAGGGCGGGGCCAACGGCCCCGATGCCAAGCCCGACGCTGGCTCTGACGCCGCCCCCAAGGCCGGGCCCGATGTTGGCCCCGACGCTGAGCGTGACGCCGGCTCCGATGCCGGGCCCGACCTCTGCGGCGCTGGTGGCTTGGAGCGCGGTTCCGACGTCGTCTCCGGCACCGGCTCCGAGGGTGGCTCCAATATCAGCCCCGAGGGCAGGGCCGACGTCGGCGCCGGCGGCGACCCCGAGGCCGACGTCCACTCTGATGCCGGTTCCCACGCCGAGGCCGACACCGGCGCCAATGTCAGAACTGAGACTGTGTCCGACAGTGTCTCCAAGACCGTGTCCAGTGGTCGATCCAACACCAGCCCCGAGCCCGGGGTCAACGTTGGCCCCGGCGTTGCCTCCGAGGCCGTGTCCAATGGTGGATCCAAGCCCAGGTCCCATGTTGGCTCCGAGACCGGGCCCAACACCAGCTCCAAGCCCGGGATCCACGTTGGCTCCGAGAGCAGCTCCGAGGCCGGGTCCGACGTCGGCTCCGAGGCCACACCCAACGCTGACCCCGAGGCCGAGGCTGACGCCGACGTTCGCTCCGACGTCGTCTCCGAGCCCGGATCCAACACCGAGGTCGACGCCGGATCCGATGCCAGGCCCGGTGCCGAGGTCCCCGCCCGCTCCGACGTCGGCACCGGGGAAGTCGAGGCCGGGGCCGAAGGGCTCGGGGGGTCCCGGGGGGGCCTCGGCTGCCAGTTGCTGCCGCAGACACCAGGCCTCGGCCTCGCTGCGGGACAGACGGGGGGTCACGGGGGGGTCTGGGGCCACCCGGACAGCAGGGGTCACTCCGGGGGGGCCATGACCCCCCCTCAGGCACCGGGGGTCCAGCACTGACCTGATGACGAAGTTGTGGGCGAGCAGGGCCGGGCCCTCGGGGCGCAGGCGGGTGTAGACCCACGTCCAGCCCAGCCCGTCCTTGCGCTGCAGCCGCGTCACCAGCTCCCCCCGCGCCTCCGGCCCCGCGCCGGCTGTGGGGACACCGGGACAGACGTCAGAGGGGACAAGAGGACACCAGCGGGGACAGGGGGACACCAGCAGGGACAGGGGGACACCAGCGGGAACACGAGGGTGGGGGGAAAATGGGGACACGGTGATGTCAAGAGGAGTGGGGGATTGGGGAGGAATTGGGGCTGGGGGATGTTTGGGACATTCCTGGGGTTGATTGGAGGAGTTGGGGCCATGGAGACATCAATGGGGGCGTCAGTGGGGTCAGGTGGGGGATTGGGGGACATCAATGGGGCCGAGGCATCAACAGGGGCGTGAAGGACACGCCGGGGGCTCCCAGAAGGAGACCCGGTGACTCCAGGGGACGTGTGGGACACCGAGGACATTGTGGGCACCAGAGGGACAGCAGGGGACACGCAGAGGGCTGGGGGACCCCCTTGGGGACGTGGGGAGTCAGGGGACAGGGAGGTCCCAAGGGACAGACAGGGTGGGGACAGGGAGGTGCCAGGGGACCCTGGGGACGGTGAGGGGACACAGGGAGGTGCCAGGGAACCCTGGGGACGGTGAGGGGACACAGGGAGGTGCCAGGGAACCCTGGGGACGGTGAGGGGACACAGGGAGGTGCCAGGGAACCCTGGGGACAGTGAGGGGACACAGGGAGGTGCCAGGGAACCCTGGGGACAGTGAGGGGACACAGGGAGGTGCCAGGGAACCC